ACACATTATTTAACGTGCAGTTAAACCATGACACAATATTTAATGTGCAGTTAAACCAGGACACAATATTTCATGTGCAGTTAAACCAGGACACAATATTTAATATCCAGTAAAACCAGGACACAATATTTAATATCCAGTAAAACCAGGACACATTATTTAATATCCAGTAAAACCAGGACACATTTTTTAATATCCAGTAAAACCAGGACACAATATTTAATATCCAGTAAAACCAAGACACATTATTTAATATCCAGTAAAACCAGGACACAATATTTTATATCCAGTAAAAACATGACACAATATTTAATGTGCAGTTAAACCATGACACAATATTTAATGTCTACTAAACCCAGGACACAATATTTAATATCCACTAAAACCAGGACACATTATTTAATGTGCAGTTAAACCATGACACAATATTTAATGTGCAGTAAAACCAGGACACAATATTTAATGTGCAGTTAAACCATGACACAATATTTAATATCCACTAAAACCAGGACACATTATTTAATATCCAGTAAAACCAGGACACATTATTTAATATCCAGTAAAACCAAGACACAATATTTAATGTGCAGTTAAACCATGACACAATATTTAATGTCTACTAAAACCATGACACAATATTTAATATCCAGTAAAACCAGGACACAATATTTAATGTGCAGTTAAACCATGACACAATATTTAATGTGCAGTTAAACCATGACACATTATTTAATATCCAGTAAAACCAATACACAATACTGAAAATAACAGTACCATGTTTCCCTAGTGAGAGACATCTGGCATGCCATTCTTAAAGCACTTGACGAAGTATATATACTTTACATAATATATATATACGAATACCCAGATAATCAATGATGGGATCACATTCACAGCCAGACAGCTGACTCTCCCTTAACGCACTGCTACTGATACAGAGCCTGATACAAAATATGTCTTCTGCAATATCGAAAACAGCCACCAGTAACATCTGGAGGTACACCAGTCAACCAGCCATACCTGATCAACAGGCAGCACTGAATACATATGAAAATAGTCGGCTGTACTGCTTAACCTGAACCACTTTCAATAGTTAGTGGTGTTCCGGTTAATTGAAATAATCGAAGATTGGTCGCAGTGACTAAACGACCTAGCAATCGATCATGTTTTCTCATAATCGAACACAAACAATTCTGGAACACTTTTTGCATTAACAATATTTTTCACAAGGTTGGTTTTGTCTGTTACATTTCATAACCACTACAAGCTCGTTCCAAGTCATGATTGAATTTATCTTAAAGACTCAAGGAATTTTATGTTCCTAACATACTAGTTAAGTAGTAACCCTTTCAAGATGTGAAATTTGCCACCAAAAAAACCTCCAAAGAACTACATATTTTCATTATGTTTTTTTTTCATTAACCAAAAAAATAATTTAAAAAACACAGGAAAATTTCATAAATGACGCTAACCAATTATTTTCAATGATTGATCGGTTGTAATGAAGCAATCATCAATTATGAGGTTTTAACCAATTCCCAACACTATCAATAGTCAGACAAACAGCTATTAACCCAGCAGGAGAGACACATTGACTGGGATGAGTATTCGTATCACAGTATATTGAAATAATAATCCATGAACCACAATATGCTACATGAGTTCAGAAACCTATTGGGAAGTTTATGTAAACTTGCACCAGACTGCATTTCAGGTGGATAATGTTGCATTATACATCAAGTTATGGGGTTCATGTTCCTAACCTAACAATAAACTAGATTGCATTTCACGTGGAAAATGTTGCACTAAACATTTCAAATCGCTATTATTGGTTTGTATTACAAGGGTGTAAGCACATTAAATGAAACACCGAGAACAAGTAGAGTTGGTCTAAGTTAACGCTCATCATGTACCACACTGCATTTGTTTCACTGTTCCAACTACTGCACTTACCCCCTTGTAATACAAACCAATAATAGCGATTTGAAACTATGATCGTTTGTTAAACAACTTTTATCCTAAGTGAATAAAATTCTGAAATTTAAATGTCCAATTGGCAAGGTAAAATTATGAGGATTCGCAATCTTAATTTCACTTTATTTGATTTACTTTTTTGTTTAAAGTGAAATTCATCGGTACGTTTTCACTGCAAACAGACTATAGTTGGATTGATCTAAAATTATCAACTTAGTGTCTGAGGGGGGCTGTGGGGGTAGCCTGATGGTTAAAGCGTCCACTTGTCACGCTGAAGATCCGGGTTTGATTCCCCATATGGACACAAATTGTGAAGCCCATTTCTGGTGTACCCTTGAAGTGATATTGCTGGAATATTGCTGGAATGTTGCTAAAAGCGATTTAAAATCATACTTACTCATTCACTAGTGTTCGCGCCAGGCAAACTAGCAAGAAAATTCATTATTGTCTTGAAAATTGGGATTCGGTTAAAGTATTTTACTGAACATTCTGGTATTTGAACATTGCATTCAGTGCAATTATATCAACAAACCTCATAATCCCCTTTGTCTTTGTCGCTTATGTTAAAGTGATGGGTACTAGAGGTGGTCCGATTAGTTGAAATAATCGAAGATTGGTCGCAGTGACTAAACGACCAAGCAATCAATCATGTTTTCTCAGGGATTGGGAAAGGCAGGGGCCATGGGCCATTTTGCACATTAGAATAAAAAATGGTCCATTAAAATTTTTGAAGTTTACTATTGATACAAGGGCAGTAGCCCAATTCTAAATTCAGAAAATGGCTAATAATCATGAAAATGGCACATTGTCAAAGTTCTCTATCCCAATCCATGTTTTCTCATAATCAAACACAAACAAGTTTGGAACACTTGTTTGCATTAACAACATTTTTCACAAGGTTGGTTATGTGAGTTACATTTCATAAGCATTACAAGCTCGTTCCTTGTCATGATTGAATTTATCGCAAAGACTCCAGGAAATCTATGTTCCTAACATACTAGTCATCCTTTAAAGATGTGACATTTGTAAATGCATTTTGTGCAACTTACAAAAAAAATCCCAAAAGATCTACATGTTTTTTCAATATTTTTGGTGAATTAACAAACATAACCAGGAGAATTTGAAAAATGACGCTAACCAATTATTTTCGATGATTGATCGTTTGTAATGAACCAATCAACAATTGTGAGATTCTAACCAATTCCCAACACTAATGACCGCCTCCGTGGTGTAGTGGTTAGAGCGTCCGCCCGGAGAGCGGAAGGTCGCGGGTTCGATCCCCAACCGCTTCATACCAAAAGACGTTAAAATATGGTACTTGTTGGTCCCTGGCGCTCGGCATTAATGGGTACAACAAGGACTGGTCGGCTCGGAGTCAGTATAATGTGTCTGAGTGGGGTATTCATGCTTCACTGCGGCATGGTATCTCAGTGGGCTAGCACTATAAAACCAGCTTAAGTCTGGGCTAGTACAAGCAGCCGCACATACACATACACACGCATGCACATCGTCATATGAGCAAAATATTCTCAAGCACGACGTTAAACCCAATTTCACCTCCCTCACCTCCCCTCACCTCACCCAACACTAATGAGAACAAAACCATAACACTGCATGTACAGGAAACTATTTCCTCGGTCAATGTTTTCATTCCTATTTACAAAGATTGACCGACATTTGCATCTGGACTCCGGACTCTGTGTGTGTGCTGACAAACACCTGCTTCCTTACAGGGAGTTTTAATGATTTATCTTTCGTTTACTTATAGCCATCTCCAAATTCAAACAGGAATAACCAGGGCTTGATTCAAAACTAGTAGGCAGAAGTCAGTGGAAGTCTCAGAGGCTGTTGATTTCACATGAGTGAGAGAAGTACTGTGTTGGGTGAGTGAGTGAGTGAGTGAGTTAGGTTTTACGCTGCTTTACACAATATTCCAGCAATATCACGTGGGGGACACCAGAAATGGGCTTCACACAATGTACCCATGTGGGGAATCAAACCCAGGTCCTCGGTGCGATGAGCAAACGCTTTAACTACTAGGCTACACCACCGCTCCTCTCAGGTTAGTGACCACCAGGATGGAATGAGGTGAGTTTGGTTTTACACTGCTTTTAGCAATATTCTAGCAATATCATGGGCTAGAAATGGGCTTCACACATAGTAACCATGAAGGGAATCAAACCCGGGTCTTTGGTGTGACAAGCAAACACTTCAGCCAACAGGCTACCCCACCACCCCCTCAAGGATGGAAACATTACATACACATGAAGCTATGGTGCCGATGGATCAAGTGTGAGTGAGTATGGTTTTACGCCACTTTTAGCAATATTCCAGCAATATCACAACGAGGACACCAGAAATGGGCTTCATACATTGTACCCATGTGAGGAATTGAACCCGGGTCTTCAGTGTGACGATTGAACACTCTAGCCACTAGACTAACCCATCGCTGCCGATGGGTCAAGGGTATGCTTCATAGTTCATGATTCTAAACAATATGGAATGTCTTATGAGAGTGATCACATACTGTCTCTTTAACAAATGTAACACAAAACACATAAACACTGAGTAGATTGCTGTGGTGTGTTATTGTGTGCTTATTGTTTTACTATAAATTATTTCAGGAATGTCGACTGTCTGTGAATACAAATCTGGACCATACAATCCAGTGGTTGACACTGTGAGCATCAATCCACATTATCAACCAGATCCACTTGCCTGGAAGTCAAACCATTACGTCACCTCTGGCAACCTGCCTACGCTCCTGGCATCCAATTCCTGGCAACCAGCTCCCACCTGGAATCCCGGTGAGGTTGCCACATGTTACAAGGAAGTTTAACACAATGCTTTTAGCAACACGCCAGCAATTGCATGACGGAGGACATCAGAAATGATTGAACCAGTGTGCGGAACCGAACCCGGATTTTCAACGCCACCAGTGAACACTTTAACTACCAGGCTAACCCACCACCCTCTGAAACTGAAGTCTCGAGTTCATCTTTCACTGTGATCAAGGCAACACTCACCGGCCTTCTCAATTCATTGCTTTCTGTTATCACTTCTCCATTCCTATCCCGTTTCCGGCTCGCCATTTTCCTCCTGAAAGACATGAAATTAGATTTAAAATGAAACCATTTTACACATGATATAATATATTTATCACCTCCTTATCTTCCAACTCAGAAGCAAATTTGTCAGTAAGAACCACAAACAAAATACCATTCACAGTTACTTAAGTAAATAAGCAAATCATTTGAAATGTCTTCATTTACCTAAAAGACAAGGTGAGGTGCTAGAAGGTTAATAGTCACAATACTTATCCCAATGGTTACCCATTTTCTGTTATGAACAAGTACATTATAATGCACATCCTGCATGGTGATTGTGCACACTAAATTACAAAATACTAACAACATCTGTGTGTCGGCTGGCTGTCAGCTTATATTTCCACAGTAAATCGTGGACAGATTACAAAAATATTATTTTTTAAAAACAATTATTTGTAATTACCACAGTTACCATTCTTCCTAAATGAAGACTGATTGAAGGAGTGTGGTTTTATGATGCTTTGGGCAATATTCCTGCAATATCAAGGTGGGGGACACCAGAAATGGGCTTCACATATCTTACCCACGTCGGTAATCAAACCACATCCAACAACTGGTAGTCTAGATAAGCAAGCATTGGCACAGCTCCCAGTGCCAAAAGCTATAAATACATAATCCCTTTATTCGCACCAGAAATGGGCTTCAAACCCAGGTCTTTCGTGTAACAAGTGACCTTCCTCACTCTCCCACCAACGCATCCACCAATTTCAGAGTCCAACAACTGGTTGTCTAGATAAGCAAGCATTGGCACAGCTCCCAAACGCCAAAAGCTATAAATACACAATCCCTTTATTCGCACCACTTTTAAGTTATATTTCCCAAACCATGCCTCCACCATATCCACAACTTTCAACTAATATGACAAACTGACACATTAGAAAAGTATAATACTTTATGGATAACAACTTCTTTACTTATTATGATGCGACATTTCGGTATAGCTTCTTATACAGTTGTCAAGCTCTTGTCGCATCATAAAAATTAGAGAAGTTGCTATCCATAAAGTAGTATACTTTTCTATTATCCATCAACTTCTAAAATGCTAATCAAACAGATTAAACTGACATATTACAGAATGGCATTATCAATGCAATAAAAATCAAACTTAAAACAATAAAATACTTTCACTCTCATCTTTTGCTCACCTCAGAAATCCATAACTGATTTGGGGCCTCAGGCAATTTTTTTTCGTCAGCCCTTTAGCATGAATTTTTAAGGTGTCCGAGGGGACGGGAGAATTTGAACCATTTTGGTTGTTTTTCCTGTATGTTATCATCATTCGTTCGTTTGTTCGTCGTGAACGAGAAACCTGAATCGTGATCTTTTTAGCCCAGAGTTCAGTCAGTTCACATAATTAGTTTGCTGGTAGTTTCATGACATATTGGTGATAATTGCTATGGCGCCATAACTTGAACAGATAATTGACACATCTATTAACAAGATGACAGATTTAGATTAGAGGGCATAAATTCAATAATTATATCCAAATACCGTATAATAATATCCAGGAAAAAATCACTTTTTAAAAAATCAAATACATGAACACTTTTCTTACAACATTTATAGCATCTGTGAAAATATGACAGTAATGTTTTTCTAAATAATCACAAATTAGTCTATTCACCAGAATCAGTATCCATCAGATGCAGAAGCATGTCTCATTTACATCAGACTCATTAACATGACTAATATCAGATATCGCATGCCTATACCGTACGCATCTGAGCAGAGTAAGGTTAACCAGCCAGTTCCAAATGCAAATAATAAAGGCAGAGATGTTGTATCATTGTGGATATCTTACACAACATAGGGCAGCAGGGTAGTCTAGTGGTTTAAGTGTTTGCTCGTCACCCCAAAGACTTGGGTTCAATTCTCCACATGCGTACAATGTGTGAAGACCATTTCTGGTGTCCAGCGCCGTGATATTCCTGGAATTTTGCTAAAAGCAGCGTAAAACCCAACTCACTCACAACATGCCATTTCGGACGTGGCATCTACATCCAAAAGTGAGTACCATTGAAAGAGTCCTTGTCATAACCCTGCTTTTAAAAATAGTGGATCATTCTAGATTAAAATACTAGTGGACCATCACGGAACCCAGGCAGGGTTTTACGTGATGCATCCAGTACAAACAAATGTAGAGAATGGACGCAGAAATATTTTCATTGCGTCTAGGGGGATGCACAATATTATTCACTGTACCCACAACACATCCATGACTTTGCTAAGTGTTTGTTGTATCTTTCAGAACAGTTACGTGCATCATTTCATCCATCAGTTCATATGATCACTGATTCATTCCAGGCGCTATAGAAACATATCAAAACTTACAGTTCTATACACTATTACTTCACAGGACCATCGTAATGCCTGCAAGGACCCTTGAAACTAATAATTAGGTTTCCCCGTCCCCAGGACCCCTATGTTTGTGAGTCAAGGTTATTGCTCAAGGTTGTCAGATGTCACCTCCTGTGGAAATGTTATCCCGTCTTTAGGCATGGACTATCATCAGAGACCATATGATAATTATATGGTATTATATGGTCTCTGCTTTCATGTAGAGTAACAGATCTGTTTCAAATGCAACCACACCTGCACTACCACTGACTGACTGACTGACAGTTTGGTTTTACGCCGCTTTTAGCAATATTCCAGCAACATCACGGCGGGGCCTGTACCACCAGCATTTCTTCCCACATTAAGTGGACATGCCGTGATATAACTGGAATATTGTTCCCCGGCAGAGTTAGACCCATAATGCAACTGCTTCCTGTGACATAGACATGGCTGCAGCACCTGGACAGAAGCACCTTTCATTACACAATACTTGTATTACTTTTCATATCTACTAAAGCATTTAACTTTTTATTATTGGCTTAAGGATCCTCTAACAGATTGGGAACATTGAATAAAAATCCACACAAATCTCAAATTATAGAGAACCGAAACCAAGAAAAATACATTGCATAAATCTGTTAGGCTGGGCCCAATCGCGCGAAACGTTTTAATCACTGAACTATGAAGTTAGGCTGATGTCAGAACACAAGTTGTAACGGACAACTTTCCATTTCTGTTTCTATTTCCCCTGAGACAGATTATCACGTTTAATTACAAAAATCAGTTATTGTGTCCCAGGTAGATGAAAAATGATACTTGCTCTATGACCTGTGTTTCTTCAAATACCAGTCATAGTGTTACTGGCGCTCCAAACAGTGTGCGGCTTTGTTGCACATAAAAATGATACATTCTTAACATATCTGTCACATTTAAAAATGCCTGAAGGACAAACAGACAATGTGAAGTATTTTTACTCATCCTACCATACCCACTGACTTATATTCTTAGAAAAACAAAAATAGCAATTGATGAGTCTGATTTTTCTCATTGGTATGTTTCAACAAATACAAATATTGAGACAGAAATTGTCAACGCACAAGCAAAACTCCAAACTACCAAAAGCCTGAATAAAATAAAATATAATTAGCACATTGGAACACCGTAGCTGTCGTAACCGTATCTCTATCATCCCTATTAATGATTTTGATTTTTAGATGTCACAACAGACCTTAAGACTCTCCCAACATGACGTGAGTGAGTTAAGTTTTACAAAGTTTTTACTAGTTTTAGCCATATTCCAGCAATATTACGCCCGGGGGAAACCAGAAATGGGCTTCACACATTGTACCCATGTGGGGAATCAAACCCGGGTTTTCGGCGTGATGAGAAAATGCTATAACCAATAGGCTACCCCACGGCGCCCTCCCAACATGGAAGATACAGTTACTGCAGCTAGGAATATCAGCACCATCCAAGCCTGAAGAACCGAAACCATAAGACCCAAAGATGAGTATGAATACTGGAGCACTCACTTGCTGTTATACATGGCTAAGCATGGAAGACAACAAACTGATTAATGCAAGATGTATTCCTACAATAATTAGATAATGAAATGGAGCATTCAAGATTACTTATGCAGCTATGTGCCTGTATGAGACATACGTCTCTCACTGAGATATCGTGCCTCAGTTATATCTATTAGCCAACTGAGACACAGTATACTAGCTGACTCTGTCTGAGTCCATCTGTTCTTGTTTCTAACACTTACTGCTGAATGCGAGGCAGGGTAACAATAAGTACCATCTTATATCAACTTTGCTACCTGTTATTATTTGTCAATTAATTTTTAAGGATTTTATACCCAGCTGGAAGAACGATTTTTCGACTTAATCATTAATATTGACAAAACAATTTCAAATATCGAACAAATGCGAGCTGCTGGAAATGTACAGCTAACAGAATAAATATCTTAACACAATTCATAGTTAAAAATCAGGATTTGCTTGAATGTTGACATACAAAATATTTTCACTATGTGATAAAAGATATATTATAGCTTACTTTTTCAGAATGAGTTACTCTTCCAAAAGAATTGATGGTACACATAGCGTTTGGGATTTTGCTAAATATAGTTTTAAGAAGTGGTAGTTATAAAAGAAATGGAGAAAACATGAGAAATTATGTTAAAAATAGTCACATTTAGCTACTTTACTCATGCAAAAGTTTTAGGGGAGTGTGGGGCGTGTCCCTGTAACACTTCCTTGTATATTTGTTTACTTTACATATATTATAAGTTACAAACTATAGACATTCGAAGACAAACTCTCTGCTGATTGATTACTAATTAATCTCTGAGTAATTACTAAAAATACCCAAGTACTGACTGTGGTACCCGTTTCAGCTCCAGGTACATCAACTAACTTAATGGTCGTTATTGGACACAAAAACAGTTCATTTCTGTTGACACCAGTGAAAAAGTTCTTACTTTCTTGTAGAAGTCATGGTGGTAACTGTTGATAACTAGACACAACACAGAGACTATGAAACCAGTCTTGTCTTCGCGTTTTCTCATAACAGTAAGTTCACAGCTCACCAATGGTAGAACTATAGCCAAACTGAATTATAATCAGCAATATAAACTAACAGTACGGTCAATATTTCGACTTTGCCATTGTCGCCAAACAAAACTACTTTATCAAAGGTCAACTCGACTAAATTAGACCAAGTTAGCACCTGTCAAAGGCTGTACTAGCACGATAACCTCAGAGATAGCAGGTCCGGAGCATAGTCCTCGTGACATGCAGAGAGTCGACTGCCCTGCGCCTTTCAACATGCGTTGTAGTAAAATCACCTGATCGTAGCGGTTGGAGAACGGTCGTTGCAACCTTGTCCGATTTCCCCATTATCGCGAGATCGCTGTGTTACTTGTTATGAAACGCCCCACACTCACCTCGTGTAACAGTGTGTAGATTCTTGTGGTTTCTCTTTCCAAAGATAAGTTAATATTACATTCGTCAACACCTGCCAATGATTCACTTTCCGCTTTTTACTATGCCATGTGTACTTGCGTACTACGTCATCGCTTTTGTTGTGTACATTAATGAATTTATTATTCGTGAACACGTCAGATCTCGGGAAAAAAATTCCCACGGAAGATGGCGAGTTTTGACGAATCACGAGTAGGCCGACTGGGGTTTCTGTTTTTTCAAGGTTTTTCGTAATTTGCTGGAGCTACACGCAGAACATATAAATATGTAGATCCCATGATGAAAAGATTATTTCCTCCGAGCTAACATCTACGGGTCCCGTCCGTGATCTTGTACCGGGTTTGAATCGTTCAAGTGAATAAAAAGGGAAACGACTTAATTCTATTCCTTAAAACAGTTATAGTTAACAGAATATCGCGTAATATATGCTGCAAATAATACAAATAAGTACATTCCGCGTTTCATCTGTATAATCATTGCGTAACTTACATAATCTGCGTGTCACCTCCCACGCCTGCAACAGCTGTAATCTTCATCACGCCGACGAGCTTCACCTGTCGTCAAAATTATATTCATGTGTACAAATATTCATGTATGCATGGGCTGCTTATGTCTTCAATCTTTATACGAGCAGGAATTAATTTCCAGCAAATGTTTTCACATTACGTTGAGGCAGTTATTATAAATTTTTAACTATCGTAATTTTAAAGGGTTTTAAAAATCACCTTACTTCCCTTAATATAAATGGTTTCAAATTACGAAAAATCCAAGTATACAACACGCACACACGCAGGATCTTTACCCATGCCCACAGGAAAAGAAATTAAGAATCCAGGAACTTTGCCCACAGGATCTTGACCCACAGGACCCACAGGATCCTTGCCCACAGGATCTTTACACACAGGATCTCTACCCACAGGATCTTTACCCACAGGAACTTTGCCCACAGGATCTTTACCCACAGGATCTTTACCCACAGGATCCTTGCCCACAAGCAACTTTGCCCACAGGATCTTGACCCACAGGATCTTTACCCACAGGAACCTTGCCCACAAGGAATTTTACCCACAGGACCCTTGCCCACAAGGAACCTTGCCCACAGGATCTTTACCCACAGGATCCTTGCCCACAGGATCTTTACCCACAGGATCTTTACCCACAGGATTGCCCACAGGATCTTTACCCACAGGAACCTTGCCCACAGGATCTTTACCCACAGGATCCTTGCCCACAGGATCTTTACCCACAGGAACCTTGCCCACAGGATCTTTACCCACAGGATCCTTGCCCACAGGATCTTTACCCACAGGAACCTTGCCCACAGGATCTTTACCCACAGGAACCTTGCCCACAGGATCTTTACCCACAGGATCCTTGCCCACAAGGAACTTTACCCACAGGATCTTTGCCCACAGGATCTTTACCCACAGGAACCAAGGATCTTTTACCCACAGGATCTTTACCCACAGGATCCTTGCCCACAAGGAACAGGATCTTTGCCCACAGGATCTTTGCACAGGATCTTTACCCACAGGATCCTTGCCCACTAGGAACTTTACCCACAGGATCTTTACCCTCAGGAACCTTACCCACAGGATCCTTGCCCACAGGATCTTTACCCACAGGATCCTTGCCCACAAGGAACTTTACCCTCAGGATCTTTACCCACAGGATCCTTGCCCACTAGGAACCCACAGGAACCTTGCCCACTAGGAACTTTACCCACAGGATCTTTACCCACAGGATCCTTTGCCCACAGGATCCTTGCCCACAGGATCTTTACCCACAGGATCCTTGCCCACAAGGAACTTTACCCTCAGGATCTTTACCCTCAGGATCTTTACCCACAGGATCTTTGCCCACAGGATCTTTGCCCACAAGGACCTTTGCCCACAAGGAACTCTGCCCACCACAATTTGTACAGGGGCGGACCTTATTTTCACACAATATTATTATTACATGATATGAATTTATATATATAGCGCACATATCCACGTGACTAGTACATGCTCAAGGTGCTGTTATTTCCCTCCATCACTGGATGTCAATCTCAACGGCACATCGTATTTTATCAATCTCAACTCCCTGGGGAGTATACAGCTCGTGCAGCCACTAGGCGCACCGAGTTTCACGGCTTTCTCATCCTAACGAGGTACCCATTCACAGCTGGGTGGACTGGGACACATAGTCACAGTACTTTGTCCAAGTTCACTGCACGTTGCTGTACCCGCAACTAGGTGTTTGCACGTATTCATGTGGCCACCATCTGGTCATATACCAACGGTTCGTGGGTTCTTTTAAGTGCACAGGGTTGTGTACTGTACACTAGGGGTTGTGACAACACTGAAAGAGTCTGCACAGAAAGTTGACTCCAAGGTTTTTACACCCGGTCACAGGTGGGCTCGATCCCGACACCTCAAGCTCGATGGACCTTCAAGCGCAATATAATTTATTGCCTACCTTAACTACTCACCTTACCACTCACACTGCTCAGGAACTATTGTTTCAAAAGAAATAAAACATTGCTTTGTATTTCGTTTATATTATTTTGATAATTATAATTAATACTCACCTTACTACTCACCCACCTTAATACTCTGCTCAGGATATGTTGTTTTGAAAGAGATCAAACATAAATTGCATTTCACCAAAGCTTTTTTGCTGCTTTTTTATTTGTATTTCTTTTTTCTAATTACAATTAATACTTTGTACAACTCACCCACCTTTTCGACCCCATCAATGTGCTATATTATATGCTGTTTCTGAGTAGTTCAATAAAATAATAATACTTATTTTATATAATGTTGTGTTATCATGGTGGACAAAGTTCCTTCCCTGTAAAATATATAGTGGGATAAGTTCCTGTGGGGAAAGTGAGTCCTTGTGGGCAAAGTTCCGTACACGAGAAATTAGGGACACAACAAGACTGATTAACAATGCAGAGTAGTAAGAATTTAAAGAATCTGGGTCAATTTCCACTTCCAAAGCGATTTCAGCGAATGATTATCGTAAGGATATGATGTACAAGTACATGTATAGGAATTACGATCGACTTAGCTTTAAAAATTTAAGATCCCTTTGCGGAACGGGGCTGTGCTGATCCTCAACGTGTTTTGAGGAGTATACAGGTAGTACACTGTGTTCGGGAGAGTTCACTCAAACGCATCTCGTTCAGTTAGTGTTTGTGGAAGTTAAAAACATTCATGGAAACGCACCTACTTCGTAGAGTAAAATCTTTTAACAGTATATACAGATGTATTGTAATTGTTTTGTTTTTTACGTATCTCGAAACTTTGAAACTTGTGTCTGTGGGAGTTTTGTCGGTGTAATCTGTTGTGTTAAATTATGATATATTTGCTTGATGTGCGGAAAATAGTCCTTGGAAAAAAGTACCGAAAAAAGTCCTAAATTTACCTAGGAAAAAAGTCCTCCGGAAAAAGTCCTATTTTGAAAAAGGCATTTTTTAATAAAAGGTATTTTTCAGTTTTTCATGTATCATCAGGAGAGTGGTTATGGGGTTTTTTTCAGCTCTGGATTTCCATTTTCAATGTTCGTCCAAACAATCTTGGCTTTTCGACTTGCGTGTTTGGTGTACATATACCCATCCAAGACTAGCTTCAAACCACCCTTGTTGGTTTGAATAACTTCCATGGTGGAATCGTTACTGATGTTGTACTGGGATACATATTCATACCTTACACTACAAACTGAAACCAGTCTAGTTAATCTTCTTATACTCTAGTCAATTAGAAGAAACACTAGAATGTAATCAACCAAAATCACAACATAATCAGTGAACAAAAACGCGCATGGACTCACGTGAAGATAAAGGATCTTATTATCTACTAGTATTTAATAACCCATATGTGTGAGTTATCAATGATTTTCTAAAATCTTTGACATCAATGTTGATGAATATATAGGTTTTTATTACAATAGGACTTTTTCAAGCTGTACTTTTTTTACCGAGGACTTTTTTTCCTACAATCATTTGCTCATCGGCCATTATCATTAAAATTTTGCAAAACACGTGGCTCAAATTTCGCCGTGAAAATAAACTGCCGGGTAGGAGAAAAGTCACGCTTTAAAAAATATGTTTTTGCCTCTATCAAAACTTTAGTCAGCCGAAAATCATCGTCAAAACAGTACAAAAGATTCCGAAACTATATGTTAAATGTGTCACCATCGATTAATGTTTTTGTTTCAAATTTAGACACCATCTAACGAGGAGGCATACTTTCTTTCTCCTTGATTTTACTTACTTTGATTTGATTTTTAAACTCTTATTATGGATGTCAACTTCAGTACTTTGATGAACTCGAACGACGTTTCGGAGTATATTCTCACTCCTTTATCGGGTGAATGAAAGTTTGGAAGCGTATTGAAAGCTTCTATTTGAAATAAACGTTTAATATCAATGTAAATATTGACAGTAAATATATGAAAGCAAACATACATATAACCATACCTTAATTGTTCAGTTGCTGCATATAGATACAATATCCCTATAACGCCTACTGCAGTACCACTGCAACTACCTCTAAGCGGGGCGTCTGTACAATAACTCAGTACATTTCCAGGTCAGTATTGCTATATGCACGACGGTTCATGCCCTCTGGACATGGACAATATGGCATTGTGAAAGGGATTGAGATGACTCGAACTTATGGTATGTCATAAAACAATTAGATAATGAGTTAGATAAACAATAAACAGGCTTATAACACCCCCTGTATCAACACAATAGAGATGTAGGGGACGTTTCAATGTCTGTCTTTGTGCATGTAGACAGCATGGCTGGACGGTTTAATTATATCAAGTTGCCCACACGATGTCGTGGTTCTGTAAATGGAATGTTTCATTTTATATATGTACAGTCAAACCCGGTTGTGTCGAACTCGTCGGGACCAAGGGAAAAGTTATCCGAGTGTTCGACACATCCATCAGCATTGAAATGACCAAGTACCAACACGACCAAAGTGCTTACATCGTTTGTCTACAGTAGGCTATACATACGAACAGTACATCTCTGCAATAAACGTTTACAGCAGTACTGATCATTTAATTAAAATATATAAA